GGGTCCAGGTGTACCCCCAGGCTGCGGACCCCACTCTTCGCAGCCAGGGCCGCCCCCCAAACATGAGGGGGCCACCAAAGCCACCATTCACACGGTCACCCACCCTCAAAACTTCCGTCTTGTCCGGGTTCAGCCTCAGCCCGTTTTCCCGCATCCGTTGCAGTACGGCCTCCAGGCAGCGCTGGAGGGACAGGACGGCATCACCTGCAGTTGGTGAAAAGGAGATATAGAGCTGGGTGTCATCAGCATATTGATGACACGATGCTCCACACCCCCTGATGACCCCACCCAGTGGCCTCATATAGATATTAAACAGCATTGGGGAGATTGTCGACCCCTGTGGAACCCCACAATTGAGGCTCCACGAGGCCGAAGTACTCCCCCCAAGCTGCACTCTCTGGGGGCAGTCCCCCAAGAAGGAACGGAACCAGGCAAGAGCCAGGCCACTGATGCCCAACTCGGAGAGCCTCCCCAGGAGGATACCGTGGTCGACGGTATCGAAGGCCGCCGAGATGTCGAGGAGGACCAACAGAGACCTTTTACCCCTGTCAGCCTCCCTCAACAGGTCATCATACAAGGCAATCAATGGCGTCTGTGTACCGTGGCGCGGCCTGAAGCCCGACTGAAATGGATCCAGGGCATCTGTTTCGTCCAATTGTGCTTGAAGCTGGTCAGCCACCACCCTCTCCACCACTTTGCTCATGAAAGAAACATTGGCGACGGGCCTGTAATTGCCAATTTCGTCCGCTGCCAAACTAGGTTTCTTTCTTATTGGCCTAATGAGTGCATAATATGCCTTTTTGTGACCTAGATTTATACAAAACCCAATGCATATGAGTATTGTTTTTTATCCCTACAATGAGAGATAGCTATAGACTCTAATTGCTACCCTTCACAATGTCAACCAGTAACTTCTAGTGAATGCTTCTGGTTTCTTTACTAGTTTCCAACAGAATTGTAAATGTGTATTTATTTTTGCAGTATTGTACCAGAAAAAAAGAACAGTAAAAATGTACAAAAAAAAGCTCTCACTCAGAAGTAACCTCTTAAAAAACAGTCACTCAGCAATCTCATTTCTAGCACAGAATTCAGATAAATATGCCAAAATAATACTACTTTCTGCTGTAAAATATGTACTTTGCAAAAGATATTACTGAGACAAGCACAGTCTTTTCAACTGAGCCATAATAAATTTACATGAATTTTCTGATGTTTTAAAGAAACAGCCCTTTCCCTCTGTCAGAGAAATGAAATGGATACATTCAAGTTTGCCTGGATGTTTCATAAACTTGCCTAATCATGCAGACAACTCACTTCTGGAAACTTCCTTCTTAGTTGAAGGAGAATAATGAGTTTTAGTCTTGTATTTATATAGAGAGAGATTTATACCTTCTCAACATTTATATATTCTGGATGGGTCTTTTTAATGGTTCAAGATCAGCAGTGAGCAGAAATAATATCACATAGAGAGAGCTGTTGTTCTTTTAATAATCATCATCTTAAAACTGCAGAGCTGGAAGGAACCATAGGTCATTGAGTTAAATGGAAATTAACTAAAACAGCAAGTAAAATCTCCTGCTAAAAGCATTCCTGAAAAACATCTTCATCAATTTCTAAAAAGTGATTGAAAACATGATACAAGCTTTCCTGTGACCCCATGCCAAAGGCCCAGCCACCAAAAACCTCTCTCCCTTCCCTCTGGTCCCAGGCAAATACCATATTTTTCCATGTATAAGACTATACTTTTGTCTAAAATCATTACACTAAAAATTGAGGGTCGTCTTATACACGGAAATAAGCTGAGGAGAAAAAAAATAAGTGGAGCCCCCTCCATTTATTTTTTTTTCTCCTCAGCTTACTTCCATGTATAAGAAGACCCTCAATTTTTAGTGTAATGATTTTAGAAAAAAAATAGTGTCTTATACATGGAAAACACAATGATCCTGCAGGGCTTTGATCCTTTTTACCCTACATTTGCTAAATTAGATTTCTTAATTTGGGATTAGAAAAGTGGGGGGTGTCTTATACATGGGGGTGTCTTATGCACAGAAAAATACGGTATATCTTCATCTTTGCTAGAACGTATAAGAGACTCTTTAAATGTGATATCAGTAGCTTTAGGTTTCTACAGGAGGACATAGCCTTCCAAATACCCCAATGCCAAACTGTTTAGGTGTTTAAATATCACTAGCATATCAAGCTGAACCCAATCTGTTTTGTTGTGGACCAACTTTGAATCCTCTTCAAAGACACCCCTATATAGAGAGATCATTGCAGTAACCTACTAAGGCATATGTCAACTGGTCAAATCTGCTTTCTCCAGAAAAAGGAGTGGTTGGGGCACCAACCTCACCTGGGTTTAAGGCATTCCTGGCCAATACTGAAACCTGAGCATTCAGGGGCATGTTCAGCAGAACCTCCAAGCCTGTGTTTCTAAGGAAGTTTGAACTGCAGTTTCCAGAACATTTATACTGATCAAGAATACCTTGATCAAGCCTGAATACAGTTGCAGACTACCAGGGGCTAATATCACACCATAGAGGGGAGCAATCTCATAAAGTTATTGTCTAACTTGGTTTTCCTTTTTCCATATGAAATAGCATGGCTTTCTGTGTGCATGTGTTTAATGTGTATGTGGTAGGGGAAATCCCATGGCCAAAGTTTCATGTTCTGTCTTTCAGATACCAGAACAAATGCAACAACTCCTTCATCAAATTTAACATCTCTGTCAACGAGCAATAGCACAACTGGTGGTATGTATTATGTTGTTCTTTTTCATGAATGGGTTTTTTGTGTACCTTGCCAAATGTCAGGAGTTCAGTTTCCCATTGTTCCTCTTTGGAAAAGAACCAGCCTATGTAGCCTTGAGCAAGCTGCACAGTCCAAGAACACCACCAGAAGCAGAGACTGGTATACTGCTTCTGAGTACTTTATTACTTAGAAACTCTTGGAAAGGATCAACATAGGTCAAAAACAGTTACTGTAGATGGCATGTAATTATTAATCAGGATTCCCAATGTGATGTCCTGGACAGGGTGATGGGTTAGGGCTCTGGAGAGCAGGGTTCAAATCCCAGCTCAGACACAGAAAGTGACTAGGAAAATGGAACTGGTAAAACCATTCCTCAAATATCTCGCTTACCTTGAAAACCCCATTAGGGTCGCTATAAGTTGGTTTCAATTTGACGACACAGAACACACAATTATTAATTATTATTGAGTTATTATCACACAAATACATTTCTTCTTGGAGCAACAAAGGGCAACGTTTCTTCATAGACATGTGTAAAAATAAGAATTTAATGGAAAGAGAGCCACCTGGCATAGTCTTTTGAGGGTGTTGTAGTTTTAATTGCCTTTTGGATCTTGCCTATGGGCTCCCCTCCTTCTGCTCACCATGCAGCAGGAACACTTAGGTAAAATCTTCCTTTGAAGGCAATGGAAGTCCCTTCCCATACCTAGTTAGCATATAATGGGTGATTTGACTGCTTTGATACATACATAAGACCTAGTAAGGCAGAGTTAAAACATTGTCTGGATCCTACGCAGTAGTTTAGGTTTCCCTGCTCTGCACTAAAGATACTATAATACAGTACAGTGGTGCCTCGCATAACGGGCGCCCCATTTAACGACGAATCCGCATAGCGACGATGTTTTTGCGATCGCTTTTGCGATCGCATAACAATGTTTCCTATGGGGGAAAATCGCTTTGCGATGATCGGTAAGCTGTTTCGCTTACCGATTTTCGCATAGCAATGATTTTTTCCCAGCTGATCGGTGGTTCCAAAATGGCCTCCGGGTAAAACAGGGACAGATTCCTCGCTTACCGGGCAGCTAAAATGGCCGCTGTATGGAGGATTTTCGCTTAAAAGGTAAGTTTTAAGCCCATAGGAACGCATTGAAGGGGTTTAAATGCATTCCTATGGGCTTTTTAATTTTACATAGTGACGAATCTGCATAGCCAAGATTTTTGCTGCATGAATTGTCGTCGCTGTGCGGGGCACCACTGTATTTCAACTTGCTGCAGAAGGCCATTTCATTTAACTCTTGCACCACTCAAAATACACTGTCAGTCAACCTTCAGCATAAGGGTATCATCTCTCTTTAGTGTGTATACACGTGAATATGTGAGATGTACAAGCTCATGTACAGAACATGCAAAAGAATATGTTAATTTTTCTCTTACATTGCAGTGCACAGATCACATGGTTGTACACAAAAGCATCTCAGTTAACCATAGCATTGGAAGTGCATCTTTTCTTTTATGCTTGCCTATAGCTTAAAAATACTGACACATACTGCATTTGCTTGATTCCTGTGTAAATACCACTGAACTGATGCTTCAGAGTATGAATGAGTTCTTATTTACCATCCTTCATCCACCCATTGGATGTAGCAGAAACCCTAATGGATGGGAAGAAACAAACAAAGGACATTAATGTTACTTCTTTTCCTGTAGGTCATACAGCAGTTCTTACCTCAAGGATATCACTCAACCAGAGCCACCTGGAGTTAACCTATAATGAAAGTTAAAACTTGTGGCATGCAGAGAAAATCAAATGAGCTAAGGCATGCCTATATTTTACAGTTTAATTTCAAATTATGGCCTGAATGAACTTTGGAAGTCAATTATTTCCTTGCCCATCACTGGCCAACCTGGAAGATTTACGTGAAGGTTTGAGTGATGGTGTTCATTACTGTAAACATTTCAATCTGACATGCTCTACCAAGTCAAAATGAATTTTTCAAGGAGACCCCATATTTTAACATCACTAAATGGAATTTTGCTGAGTTCAATAAATAAACCAGAATCATTGCCATTTCTTGTATCTTAATCAAGTTTGTCATTCTTAGTATAATCATTCTTAGCACAATTTTATGGAGCTTTCATGTTTATATTATTTTTTTAGGTGCTAGATATGATCTTGCAAAGGGTAGTCACAACAGAGAGCACAATTCTTACTGGCAAAGACAGTCCAGGAGGGTAGCTGTGCTCAGCTGAATCCAAACCTCTCCTAGCCAATGGATGCTGGAAATTACTTAGTGCTACCTGACCTAATCCTGGACTAACTTTGTCCTAGTATTGTAGCTGTATCCTTGGGCTGGAGAAGGTTTGCATCTGGCATCACCCTGGCTTTTCTCTATCTCCTTTAGGGCTCTTTTGCTAGTAGATGTTAGCCAGAAGACCTGTTGACTCATAGCAGTTATCTGAGACATACTGGCAGAATGTGGTTTTACCGGCAAAAGGTCAAACCCGGTACTTAGCATGACTGCTCTGAAATATGACTGCTCTGTTTATTGAATTCTGCCAAGATCTGAACCCAAATTAAGTTGGTGCTGGGGTTGTAAAATTTGATTTCATTGACATATATGTGGTGAAATCATCATATTTCAATTGCATGTTTTGTCCCTAAATTACCACTAGAGTTCATGCAACATAGACTCGATTATCTTTGGGCTTCTGTTATGGGAAATAATTTTTTTTTTCTACATTTGCCTCCAAGACAACCATATCAGATAGCCAAGATTTTGGCATTCCTAGAAGAGAGCCATCTACCCTCATAATGTCCATCACTGTGTTGCTTTCTCTAACTAATTTCTTTCTCCCAGTCAATTACTTATATTTTGGAAGAGTATGTATGTATGTATGTATGTATGTATGTATGTATGCATGCATGCATGCATGCATGCATGCATGCATGCATTCATGCATTCATGCATTCATTCATTCATTCATTCATTCATTCATTCATTTTCTGCCCCATCTTTTTGCCTGTAGCAAAACATATATTTCATCTGAAATGATAATATTTTAAATACTATACCTTCACATTAAGGGACGTGGTGGCGCTGTGGGCTAAACCGCAGAAGCCTGTGCTGCAGGGTCAGAAGATCCGGCAGTCGTAAGATCGAATCCACGCAACGGAATGAGCACCCGTCGCTTGTCCCAGCTCCCGCCAACCTAGCGGTTCGAAAGCATGCAAATGCGAGTAGATAAATAGGGACCACCTCGGTGGGAAGGTAAACAGCGTTCCGTGTCTAAATCACACTGGCCATGTGACCACGGAAAGATTGTCTTCGGACAAAACGCTGGCTCTATGGCTTGAAGAGCGGGATGAGCGCCGCCCCCTAGAGTCGGACAAGACTGGACAAAAATTGTCGAGGGGAACCTTTACCTTTACCTATACCTTCATATTGGCTATAGAGTTGAGCATGAAGCACTTTGTGCCACATTGTCTTAAATCGATGGCATGGCACCATAGATGCTGCACGTTCTGTACCCCACCACCACCCCGCTGGCTCTCCCACTCACCAGCTGGCATGCAGTGCTTGTTACCTCCCTTTCATGTGATCTTCCAGTCCTGGCAGGAGCATGGACCTTCTTTCTCCACCTCTTGCATCAGCTGTCCACCCAAAGGCTGTGCTACAAGAACCCCTGCCCCACCTCCTCTTCTGAGTGGGCAGCTGCTGGAGGAGGCAGAGAAGGGAAGTTCATGCTCCTGCCAGAACTGGAAGGTCACACAACAGGGAGGAAATGAGCAGTACACGCCATCTGGTGAGTGAGGAAACCAGCAAGGATTGGGTTGGGGTAAGGAAATGTGCTGATGACTTAAGACAACCCAGCACACTTTGTGCCCATCTCTAGCTATAAACCCTGTGAGATGAATTATTACTTTAAGTTACTTTCTTCAAAGTGTACTTGGTTACACTTCAGAACAAGGCACATCAAGTTCATTAAACAGCCCCTCCAAGCCCAAATAAAAACATTTGATTACAGTTCCACAAAATGAACCCTTCCTAGGAGCAAAGATTTGTCAGCTCTTCTTTTCTTTGCTCCAGTTATAGTGGCTGCTGTCACCTCTTGTTATACAAGAGGTATAATACCTATAGTAATTTCTTTTCCTCCACTAATTCTTTTAGATAGATTAACTTTACCGAGACACGCAAAAGGTCTCTATCAAAGTTCTGACTTCTAAAAGTACAGTAAACAAAAGTCGCTTTCCTCCCTCCTTAAACCAGTCTTTGATGATCAGTAGATAACCTATGTTTTATGTTGCAGTGCTTGAGAGTAAGTCCGTAATTTTATTTAGACCTTAAGCACCTCAACTGCTTAATATGGTCTGAATAAAAGAGTGGAATTCTAGTGGCTCAGACCCGCCACTATTGCATGGTGCCTGGGTGAGGGGGAGTATGTTCTAGGCCTGCGGTTCCCAGTGTTGGCAAACCCAAATGCTCTTGGACTGTATCTGAAATGTCTGAGATGGTTTTTTTTGGGGTCACACCAATGACGATTCACATATCTCTGAGGTGTGGTTGAGTTTTGCCGTGTTTATTGGGTTTGGGGAAAATAAAACATTCAGATAAGAAAGTGATCTGAATAAAGCGCCATCTGTCCTACTAATTATACCTTTGATATATACTGTATGTTTTAAGACCAGTGGTTAATGTATTGTTATTTATCCTTTCAAATCAGAAAAGATAACTACATCACCAGTGCAGTGTTCTGTGACTTCAACACCAAACTCTACTCTAACAGCCGCTCCTGGTAAGACATCCTTTTATAATTCAGTTCTTACTTAAGTATTGACAGTCATCCCATTAAAGAATGATACTGTGTTTTATAATGGAAATATCCTTTCTGTATTGTTTTGGGTCAATTATAAACTCCCAGTTGAACCTATAGCTAATTGTGAAAAAAGTCTTGGAGAGAATTCTCCTCAAATACACACAAAAAAAATTGCTAATTTTCTGTCCAGCCCTGTGGCACCTGTTTTGTTGTTGTTGAGAAAAAAATAAAGAAGAAATGGAACCAGTAGGACACCCATATCTGTAGAGGATCAGTTCCATGATCTACTGTAGCTTCCTGAAACCATGGAAATGAGGAAACCCTATATACCACATACAAGGGGATGGGGAAAAGACCATAAAGATGTAACCTTGTATGTGGTATATAGGGATGTGGCAAACTGCAGATAAGTGAAACCGTGGATATTGATTCCATTGATACAGGGGTCCTACTGTTTAACATTTGTAGTGTTGGACTGAGCTTGGGAGATTCAGGTTGAAATCCCTCATGAGCCATGAAATTCACTGGGTGATCTTGTTTTCAGTGAGTAGCCGTGTTAGTCTACTTTGCTATATGTTGGTGATCTTAGGTTAGTCATTTGCTATCACCCTGATTTACATCAGAGAGCCATTGTGAGCATTCAAGGGACAGGAGGAGGAAAGCCACATACATATCATACGTACCTAATACTCATTGGCATTTAAATGGGATAGGACTGTAACAAACAAGAAAGTAAGTAATTAGCTCCATTCTTTATTCCCCAGAGTGGGCCTATTCAGTACCCAACTAGACAGCTAGACATCTCAGAGGTTTTATAAAGCTTATTGGATAGGAAAAGAAGAAAAGGGAAATAAAAAAATAACATCTACTTGTGACTTTAAGCAGTGCTTGCTAATTAGACAAGGGTGTTTAAACTGTTCCTCGTCATCCAGTCTAAAATACCTGGATTATAAAAGCTCAGTAAAAATAAAGGCTCTGTCTTCACTTAAAGAGATACCATGTGTGTAGTCCTGAGAACACTCTGTGCCTACAGACATAAATGGAACATTCAGATACGGTTTGCTGCCAACTGAAATGGGATTGTTGGATCATACAGCACAGTGGGAACGTCTGTCCATGAAGGGCTAAAGGAACAATATTGTGTAAGGTCAGAACAGAGCAGAAGGTAGGGCAGTTTCCCAAACAGAATGTTTTCTAATGGAAGCACCAAGCCAGGGATGGACAGAAGGTAGATCTGGATCTTACTGGTGGAGCTAGATAATCTGCAGAAAATTGGCAAGGACTGGAATCAGACATTCTTACCAATGTTAACATCTCAGTGAAGAGCTAAAGGAAAATATATTGGGTAATGGCAGAGCAGAACATGGGAAAGTTTTCCAAGCAGAGTACAGTATTTTATGCTAGAGTCTTTCTGCCAGGGCTGGGCACAACTACTTGCTATTAGCCTGGGAAAACTATTGACGTTAGTTATTTATTTTTAACATGTATTTCCTGACTTCTTTTTACAAGCAACTTGCAACAAACAGCATAAAACAGTGATAAATATGGGGGAAGCATAACAGTTAACAAAAAAAGCAAAATCAGTGATTCAAAAAACCCCAATTGAACCAGAACAGAAAGCAGAAAGAGTACCTACGAATACCACATCCAGCCATTTCTAGAATCTCACAGCTTCCGGCCTTCAGTGAGAAACTGAGAGAGAAAAAATCTCTTTCTTGCAGTGAGGTTTCTCTGTTTAAGATTTCACACACACACACACACACACACACACACACACACAAACCCTTATTGCACATAATTACAACTCCTGCGTTGTGTGGTATACTTCCTGCATAGGAACTCGCCCAAAAGGGTAAAAGAAGTCACAGGTTGTACAGGATTGCTACGCTTCCTGTGCAGCATGGTATTTTCACTACACAGGACCCATCAGAAAAGGCATTAAGCTCCAAAGAATTTAGCTGTTTCCTGCAAAGGACAACTGTGATTTTTTGAAAAGACAAAAAAAGGAAAAGGAAACCGTTGTTGTTATTGTTGTTGTTGTTGTTGTTGTTTGTTGCACAGGTAGGCAGACAGTCTTATTGATGCAGGAAGAAGTTTGCAAGCTCAAGAATAGAACATTTTAAAAAATTAAAAAGAAACCCTTGCAAGTTCTTGCTGCATCCTTACTTCAAAGCCTTTCAGAAGAGTTGAGTCATCAGTGTATGAAAGATATGATGTAGGATGATCAAGTGTAAAGGAGTACAGAGCTGTGCAGAAGAGGGAATGTTAGAAACAGACGCTTATACGACAAGTGACGTCCACAGAAATCCCTTCTTCTACACCCCTATTGAAGTTACAGGTGCCCAGTCTCTTTTTGCATCTGGCTCATCTATTGTATAGTGATGGGGCCAGTTGGTCTTCTCTTTGGAATAAGGATTTAGGGAATAGTCACACTTTTTTTGTCCTCAACAAAAAAGAATGTCTTAATGCAGACTCTGTTGAAAAAAAAATAGTGAATGAGGAGGATATTTCTTCCCTTCTCAACAGCTAAAAGACCAACACTTACTTCAGCAGCTACAGCAGCAACTGTAAAAAACAAAAAAACAAAATAATATAAAACCTTGTGCTTTTTGCTCCAAATTCTTCTAGTTAAAAAAAACTTGCATTTTGTACAAAACACTTTAAATGACTTAACACCAACAACATCAACATCAGCAGCAGCAACAGCAACAACAGCAACAAGTGTCTTAATGCAGACTCTGTTGACAAAAAATAGTGAATGAGAGGATATTTCGTCCCTTCTCAACAGCTAAAAGGCCAACACTTTCTTCAGCAGCTACAACAGCAACAGTAAAAAACAAAATAATATAAAACCTTGTGCATTTTGCTCCAGATTCTTCTAGTTAAAAAAACTTGCATTTTGCACAAAACACTTTAAATGACTTAACATCAACATCAACAATAACAATAACAGTAAACCAAGAGCACAAAATCTCTTGTAGTCTTATCTGCCAGGACAAAAACTTCAAAATGTTTCATTCTCATCTGTAAGGATGAAACAAATTAAGATCTGCATCCATGGTTTGGAGATTATGCCATTATAGGACTGCTGTGAAAGAAAAGTCTATGAATCTCGTATCAACCTGCTAAGTGTATAATGGCGAGCAGACACAACACACAGAGCAACGAGAACTTCTGCTTTATTGATACAAGCGTACAAGATGTTACATCCAAAAGGAGGAGAATTGTTATATTAATCAGTGCGTTGGGATTTAAGATCATCATTTTGAATTGAGATCAAAATTATAGGCAGGTGCATGCTAAGAGGCAGCGGCTGCTCCTGGCAGGGAAGCCAGGTCTGCTACCTCTGAGAGTGGCCGTGGCAGAAGCAGGTGACTGGAGGCAACAAGGGCAGCGGGAAGGCGGCAGGTCGGCATCTTGTTTTGCCGAAGCAAACAAAAAGCTCAAAGGGGGAAAAAAGTTTGCCATTTTGTTTGCTTCGGCCAAATGGGGTCCCCCAACTAGGTCGGGAAATGAATCACAAACCAGCCCAGTTCATCGGGTTTTTTGGATTGTGGTTCATTTTGTGCCCATCTCTATTAACAGGGTATCTGTGGGCAGCAGTAGATATTGTTCTGTATATCACATCTTCCAAATTGATGGTACTGTGTATTCACCACCTCAGGTCATAACCATAGGCATTTTATCCTATTCACAGGAAATTCTTATTTTTTCTCCCACAGAAATCCAGGTTATGGTCAGATTAGAATGTCACCAAAATGGTGCACGGTAGGTTGGGCACCTATCTGGGCACCTTTATTTGTACATGGATCAAGCCAGTTGGCTGCCGTACATCCCTGGTAACATTGTCCACCTTCAGGGCTCACAAATATGTCTCTTCTATGACTGGGTACATCCTTTTTAAAAAAACCTGTATAACATGATGACACATGCATAATGTTTTCCCCATGGTAAGCTGCTCAACCAGTGACTCATCCAAGTCTCCAGTCCAGTACAAATTCTCAAGCAATATAGGATGGGCTTAAATGTATGCAGGGTTTCCATAGAGGTTGCTGATACCAGCATGGAAACTGCATAGGATCAGAAGCATTTGGACTTGTAGACAAATAGTGAGAGTTGCCACATTAAAGTGGCTCATTACACAAGAAATTAATTTGTGAATTAGTAGGAGTCTGCTGATAGTAAAAACAAACAGATCTTGAGATAATGATTATGTTCAGCTTGTATTCAGTTGGGTTTCTTTTTTGCAGGCAAAAAAAATGAGACAACAGCTACACCGGGCTTCCTGAACAGTACAACAAACCCCCTTCAAGAAGAATCAAGCAAAAGTGAACCTATAAGTAAGTGATGACAGACGTTCCCTCTTCTTACAAGGGTAAATAACATTCCGGGACCAATTCATCCACATTCCTCATTACATTTATGCCTGAAGGGTAGCTGTGATCCTACATGAACACAAAGGTTGTCAACACTTCAGAAGGTTAGTGTACCAATAAACACTGTCTTGTTTTCTTCCCTAGCCACAGTCAGGCATTAGGTACTAAGTTAAATTTTCCAAGATCACGATTCACGTGGATAGACCCCACAAACAGTGGAACTTTCCCCTCTTCAGACTCAGTGTCCTCCACATATAGGAGGGACAATTGAGATAACAATGGAGGGGGTGAAACTGCAGCATTCACCTCTACCAGTCATGAGTTTAAACTAATACATGACAACTGAATAGGACTCCTGTCACAGACATGGAGAAGTAGTCATGGGAAGGGACTTCCTGAGGTCTGGTATGGTCAGAGCTTCAACAAGTTCTTGTTTGAATGCGAATTCCTAGTATTCAGGATTCTGGAAGCTGTAGTCCAAAAAAAGATACTTTTCCAAACTCTGGGTGTGGGGAAGCAGCAGGGTCACCTACAAGTTACACAATGTAGAATTCCTAGTGTTCAATATTCTGGAAGCTGTAGTCCAAAAAAGTTACTTTTCCAAACTCTGGGTGTGGGGAATCAGCAGGGTCACCTACAAGTTACACAATGTGAGGCAAAAAGGACAATATGCTTAGTGTGTATTTAGAAGCAGCACTCTCTCAAGTGATGAAGGAGATATACCAGTATCTGCTTATTATAGTACATGATAGTTCTCACTTCCATATCTTGTACTCAGCTGTGTTTTGTTTTGTAACTGGAAGGAAATATGTACGTTTATATTGCAGTGTGATTGCTGAGGTATTACACTATAAGAAAATGGCTTCAACTGAAGAACAGCATTAAACACAGGAGACTTACATTTTTTAACATCTAGTTTGATGTTGTACATGGCTTTATGCATGAAGTACAAAACAATACAGGAAGTCTGGAACCCTACAATTTACACATGTAATTGAGATCCTTTTGTTTTTCTAAAGAGAAAAACAAGATAAAGATCTAAAATCAGATTTAACTGAGTAAGCTGTCTGACTTTTTTCTTAACTATTTGTTTTTAATTCCTTTTTAAGACTGTTTTCTTGGTTCTATTTTTTTATTGTACTGTTTTGTCTTCCTTTGTTTCTATTTATTGTTTGTAACATATACTGAATGCCAGTCTGAGGGAGAAAAGCAGAACATTAACCTTTTTCTTTAAAAAAAGTACTATTCAAAAGAGTTAATAGGTATTAATAAACAATCTGAAAAATATTTAGACTATAGCACCAAAGTTCAGATTATCAGAGATATTTTTTAGAATACTATTATGGGAATGCCATTGGGTTGCCATATCACAGGAAGAGATTACGTCCTCTCTAAATTCTTGATTATCATCATCATTTAAAGTGCTTATTTAAAGAATTGAACCAGGCTGAGAGAATCTCAGGATTGGATTTAAAAAATATATAAAACTTTTCTAATATCTAGTCCTGCCAACGTTAAGTTCATCTACATCCTCCGTTGACAGGTTTATTTCTATCATGTGGAAAAGCAGAGCAGGTGAAATGGTATTTATAAATTTTAATGATAGAGGCGTTGGTCATTATTTCATTTGTATTAAAGCATCCTTTTCGAGCAATCGGAGGCAATCCCAAAAGAAAATTATGAAGGAAAGAAACACATGGCAGGGCTCTGTAGTTTATTTAGTCAAAAGATCATTTGAGAATATGAGGGAGGAAGGTTAGTTTGGGGTCTGTTTCTCCCACACCATCTGTTTGCCTTTTAGCCACCTACTGGAGTGAAATTTTCAAGTCAGCTATGCCAAAGATAGGTTTCTTCAAAGCTTATCATCCAGCAACCCCTTATTTCAGATAATATTGTTCTCCTCATTTTTTAAACAGAGGATCTGGAAGTCTTCCCAGATTCTCTTCATAGGGCAGCTGTCCCTCTAACTCACAGCTCACAAAGGCTCGTAAAGATGACTGGCAAGAATCACAGAACCACAAAACTTGTATAATAGATCTGCCAATCGTTGGCTACTCTGTTGGCTTTCCACATTGATGAAGCTGATGGGATACAATGACTCGTTGGCTGCCTGATTTCAAGAAGGTGTTTTGAAACCCATGGTCCTGTTGAACAAATATGACAGATCATTGATCCAAACACACACACACACACACACACACACACACACACACACAAAAGGTGGCAGTGATCAAAGGGATGAGGAAGTTCTCTGCACATGGCAAAGTTGTATTCCACCTATGGGAGGCAGGGGAGGAATAGGAGGGCTACTTACACATCACCAAAAAAAGGGGACATGTATCAACAGAAAAAGAGGCATATTTTTTATCTGAAAAGATGCAATGTTTTAAGTGATTTTTAAAATTTTAACAGCATCACAGTAGTACTCACCTGAATGGAGAAGGCTGAAACCAGATAACCTGCATGCCTGCTGAGTTTGCTGCCCAGGTGTAAAATGTGGATGGGTAACCCCTCTGAGTTCCCTCTTTCCAATTCTTTATCTTTAAATTAGACTTGGATTGGACCGCCCATCAAATAGAGGGCACCACTAAGAAAAAAGACAGCATTCCAGCAGCCCTTTAAATGTAGGACTGTCCTCTTTAAAATAAGACCCATGGCCACACTTAGAAAAAGATGTGGCAGAAGGAAGGGAGGTGGTGAGGGGGAGAGAGAGAATGAGAATGAACTGGTGTTCTCAACAGATTTGACTTCCTCTTCATCAGTCATTAGCTCTGGCCCTCCCCATCAGTATCATGTAGTCCCAAAGGATGATTGCCAATAGAATAAAGAAACTGTAAAGCTTCTTTATTCTATTGACAATCAATAGAATAGATTGCCAATAGAATAACTGGCAATCAATTCTATTGATCTCACACTCCCTCACATTCCCCAAAGGTCCCAAGGCTGTTGTGGAATCCCTTTCATCATTGCAAAGCCATTGGGGGTTATGATACAGGAGGGGAAAGTCTTTAATTACCATAGATTGCTGCTGCTCAGTCACTTTACCAGCAGTTCAGATCTTCAATAATTAAAAACTTCCCCCTCCAGTCCAAGAACCTCTATTGGCTTCATGACAATGAAAGGGAATCTCAGAACAATTCTCAGAATTTGTTCAATGTTTACAATTTGCAAAAATAGCAAATTTTGCACAAAAAAGAGGTTGATATTACATGAAAGGGCAGTTTTGCACAGAACCCTGTTCTGAACAATGTGGAGGATCTACTGAGGTGTTTACAATTTGCAAAAATTGCAAATTTTGCACAAAAAAAGAGGTAGATGTTACATGAAAGGGCAGTTTTGCACACAACCTTGTTCTGAACAATGTGGAGGATCTACTGAGAGGGTCTGGAAATTACTCACTGGCAAAGAAAAGAATGGTACAATTCCTCATCCTCTAGTAAAAGCATGAAACAAGTGAGGACTTACTTCCCTCCCCCAGAATTTATATGCAAGTCTGTCTGCAGTGGGAGAGAGACAAAACCTCATCAGATTCTGTTGTCAGAATGAGATCTCTCTTATTGTTGGGAACTTGGTGGTATGAGGGAGATAAGAAAGCTACCACTGTGTTCATATGCTAGTTGTAATTTTTATTAAAACAGAAAACATGCTAGCGAACGATGAATATTTTAATCTCTTTTCTTAAAGGGAGCACAGCAAACACAGACCAGAAAACAAAGACTGATTCATTTCACACTCATGAGTAAATCTGATGCCCAATTCCTCATACATGGTTTTTGGAAGTAGCTGGAACCATACTTGTCAATGATGGACACTGTGATTGTTTTTTTCTCATAGGCACTAATACAGCAGAAGGGAAGGATGATTCCTCTTACCGTGGTGAGTAAATTCAGTGCTCCTTATCCCCTTCCAGTTCTTTATTTGAAGGTTTTGTGAGGAGCTGTTTGGCTTTAAGGTTTGCTGTCAGTCTTTATTGCCTACAAACATGATCTAGCTGCCTCTCTGGACATCTGGGAAAAGAAGACAGGATACGATGCACTTACTACTATTGCCTTCAGGCTCTCAATTTCTTCCTGAGGATTGGGGTCAAAGTGATATATGTAATGAAAAACAACCCCATCACTCTCAAGGAACTCAGACATAGGAACATTTATGCCCAGTAACGGTAAAAATACTGACAGATATTTGCAGGTGACATTCTCTGTTTGATACCTAATGGTAAGAGACATTATAGGATTTAATTTTTAGAAATATTGCTTCCAACCTCTGTATAGGTGTGCACACACAGGTGCATGCATAAAAGATGCATAGTCCTTGCTATCAAAAATGATCATCATCTTGAAGGTTGTGATCAGTGTATTTCTTCCTCAAAAAAGATACATGAGCTAAAATCATATCTGAAAATAGTTCAAGTACTTCTATGCTAGCAAAAAGATAACGATTGCCATTAACTGGTTCAGTTAATTTATAAACTGCCCTTTGGTGACCAGACAAGGCATTCCTAGGCAGAGTGACCATTCATGCATCACTGAACTAGAAGATGCAGATTTGCATAAAAATAACATGGGTTGTTCTGCAAGTGCATCAAGAAAGATTTACTGTAACAAAATATATGAGAAAAGTGCCATCAGGTGACTGGCTCTTTCCTTTCCTGTACTCAAAGATTCCTTTTAAATGTATTTTTAAAGCTTTTCAATGTTTAGATTTTAATTAGTATTAGATACAAAATTCTCTCTCTCTTTTAAAACGTCAAATTTTTTTTGTGTTTTTCATCCAACTTCATTTGTGAGCCACCTTGGGTCCTCTCACCAGCAGAAAGGTAGCATAGAAATAAAACATATAAAATAATGATATGGCGACCTGTTCCATCTGCTATGCAGGTGTCATCTATTGAATGGGAGATTCGTGGCCTTTGCTCTTCCCTCTTGACCTTGAAATAGTCAGCATAGCATGCTTCTGCATATCTCTACTTTCTTGTATTTGTATTTAAATTATGCAGCCACCCTCTGTAAAGTAGGGTGTATGGTTGCCTTATTCTGAGTGCATGAATATTTAGTATGTAACTGATATTTCATTCAGCATTTCATTCTGTTTCCATATGTCTGACAAAGGGGATGTGTCCACAAAAGTTCACATTAAAATATAATAGTTAGTCTTTAAGGTGCCACATGTTTTTGCCTCTTTTTTTGTTTGATTGATTTCTTTGGATTTTGCCTGATAGCTTATTCTGAGAGTGCTGCAAAATTTAGATACAACTATAAGAATATAGAGACACACAGAAGCATGCTAGGCTGCCTTTGGAACTCTTAGAGTGGCAGATCAAAAATCTAAATTGCCACACTTCTAGGAGGGAATCATATAGCAAATCAAAAGTACTGCTGCAAAACCATTTATAGTTCAGCAGAGCTACAAAATAATTCCAACACCAGCTGGAGAACATCCTGGAACACCTCTGCAGATAAAAGCATTTCTACCTGATGCAGGAAAGACATAAATCCAGATGAGCTTTTTTGGGATTCCGTGCACCCATCACCTACTTACACCCGATGAGGAAATAGTTATCTTATTTAACTGCAATGATCTTTGAATATGTTCTTGATGCTAATGCTTAAGCAATATAAACTGTTTTATTTATTTATTTTTTATATTTATATCCCGCCCATCTAGTCATTCGACTACTCTGGGTGGCGTACATCAAACGAAATAAACAGATTAAAATAACATCATTATCCAAAAATAATCAGTCATTCAAATTTCTAATGAAACTACATTTTTCTAATAAAAATTAAATATAAACAATTCTACCAAAGGTCTGGTCTCTTGAACAGCAGGGTCTGGCTAAATCCAGGAGGTGGAGAGGGCCACAAACTAGCTATCTTTTAAGAGTCCTACCTAACTGAGCTGTTGTGAGTTCTAAGGAATCACAAAGCCCATGTGCCTGTACTTGCGAAGTACTGAGTAACGTAAAGTGTTCTTTTAAGGGCAGACTTGATCAAAGGGCTTATGCTATGCACTGCTGAGGCCTTGAGACATGCCTTAGCGCAAAGGTGGTAGGTAAATAGCCTGTCGAACTCTCTGACCAACTGCCAGCGACCCTCTAGTGCACTACATGGTGATGGACAGGTTTGTGTGCAAGAACAGCCTGTCGAACTCTCTGACCGAATGCCAGCGACCCTCCAGTGCACCACATGGTGATGGACAGGTTTGTGTGCAAGATTTCAAACAGCTCAGCCCCAAGTCATTTAATACCACATAGGTAGCTATCAGGTCCACCCTGCACTGTGCTGGGAAACAGTCCAGTTTTCTAAACGCTCCTCCTCCTCCTCTACCCCCAAGCATTCTGATTATCGGAAACATCTAGCAGTGGAGCACTTTCAACCCTCTCTCAGCTCATGGTATTTATCTTATTTGAAAAGGGGAAGCCCTGCCATGCATGTAGGTCCCAAACATATTGTGTTCTTATACCAATTGCTCCCCTCACCTTTTTTTTTCTTGGTAGTTTTCTTGTTCTGCTTCAAAAGGAGAAGCCCTGCCATGCATGCAGGTCCAAACATACTGTGTTCTTATACCAATTGCTTCCCTCAGCTTTTTTTTTCTTGGTAGTTTTCTTGTTCTTAATTCTCATGGGAAAGTATTACATAATCAAGGTTTGGTAAAACTGTATATACATAGGATGTAGCCTTTGCAGTAAAGATCCTTCTGTTTACTGCAAAGTCTTTGGGCAAAAAAAGGAAGTCAGGTTGATTTGTGTTTATAAAGGCTGTAAGCCTGCCACCTAGTGGTTGCATTGGAATGTAGAATGTTTAGAAACTTAACCCGTCTTTCAGTTATACCCATGTGCCATGCAATGGGGGAGAGGTTAGGCGGCAGATAGATGGAGACTTCTAGGAAATTTGCAGAAGAATCACCAGTATATACCTGAGCTCCGGGTGACTCAATCGATAGCAAGGGGCTGAAATTTCCAGGGCTTTGGAATTACTTTCTTTTTGAACTATGACTCCCAGAATCACCCACCCAGCATGCTGGACGGGTGGGTTCATGGAGTTACAGTCTAAAAGGGTAACTTATTCAAACTATGTTATCTCTCAGTGGTGTAGCTATTGCCAGTCTAAATCAGGCTGTTAGGATCCCTGACTTATGATGACTCGGGGATCAATGTGTATTTGTGCATGCAGGTCATCACAGTATAAAGGTAAAGGTAAAGGTTCCCGTTGACATTTTTAGTCCAGCCGTGTCCAACTCTAAGGGGCGGTGCTCATCCTGTTTTTCAATCCGTAGAGCCAGCGCTTGTCCGAAGACAGTTTCCATTGTCACGTGGCCAGCGTGACTAGGGAGCGCCATTTTACCTTCCCACTGAGGTGGTACCTATTTATCTACTCGCATTTACATGCTTTCAAACTGCTAGGTTGGCGAGGAGCTGGGATAAGCGATGAGAGCTCACTCCACCGTGTGGATTCGATCTTACGACTGCTGGTCTTCTGACCCTGCAGTACAGGCTTCTGTGGTTTAGCCCGCAGTGCCACCACGTCCCCCATCACAGTATACCACTCATGAAATTGACTAGATGATCAGTTTTGCTCCCTGGACTACAATAGTATACAGTATCTGAGTCCAGCTGGAGGGCCGTCAGCTTCTAGAAAACATCCACAGGAAATCTTACAAACCTGAAGTGTGTACGAGTAGACTTTGTCTAGGGGGGGTGGGGTGTAGAAAACATCCACAGGAAATCTTACAAGCCTGAAGTGTGTACTAGTAGATTTTGTCTAAGGGGGCGGGTTAAAAGTCTAATAAAAGTAAAAAGTAAAGTACAAAACTAGGTCAAAACATTTTATTGTCTAAGGCAAAAGACAAGTTGGTGTCATCCATGTAGATTAAACTGACAGCTGAACTTCACTTCAGTGCCAATGAGTTGACCTTAACCAGTGAGTGTGGTCCTCACAATGGCTGAGGACAGCAGGCTAGTGTGGTGCACTGCTCGGCAGACAGTGTAGGACAGACAGCTTTGTCCTCCAGTAGACAATAGCCAGAGAAGATGAGTAGACTCATTGGGGGAAGGGCTGGCATTAGTTCTTCCTCCCAGCATCTGCAAGCTGCAGCAGTTATCTCACTCTGCCTAATGGCAGGGCCAGCTCTGAATCTGCCCTCCATTGCTGTAAAGACTGGACGCGGAAGGCACCTTGCACCAGCACATTTTTTAAAATAGCTCATTCTTCCTTTTTTTTTAAAAAAATGGAATGTCAAGTTGGGAAATTTATGAATTAATTTTCTCCATTACATGCAGGTATTATCTTGCCCGTCATCATTGCCTTGATAGTAATATCCCTCGTTGTTTTCCTTCTGATGGCGATGTACAAAATATGCTTAAAAACAACTCCAGGTATTTATTTAACTTCCTTTAAAAACACTTCAAAATTAGTTTATTAAACTATTAAAATGTTCTTAAGTCCCGATGATATTCTTCAGCATTGTTATAGCTACAACGTATTTGGTGGCATGTTTTGAACTGGCTGGGATTTTTCTTGGGTCTTGATTTATTTATTTATTTTTAATTGTTGCACTTGATGCACTATATTTTAAAGCTTTATTTTGAATTTGTTTTTGAATTGATGTACATTAAATCAGAAGTGCAATGAGAAAGCTAGATAAAGAGTTTTCTCTCCGATATATGCTGGAATATCAAGGTAATGTGAATTTCTTTTCTTTTAGAGAGGCAAGACAATGGAACTGAGCAGTAAGTTTTTTCCCATTTCTTGAGTCCTTACTGATCTTTAAGGCAAAGACATCTTAGAGCCGCAGTCTTATATATAAGCTAGCTTCTGAAAAGAACCACAGAGTTTTGCTCCTAGGTGGGGAGGAAAAATTTGTTCCATCTGAAATTTTTAAACAAATTTCCCCAATTTATATCCTCAAACCAGAATGCCTTTGTGCACCAAAATAAGCACTCCTCCAGATTTTGCAATGCAGCTTTCAACTTAAAGAGTGTACAGAAAAATGTGCATGTTAGAAAAAGTATATACAGTAACAGTGAAGCAATTGAATTTTTGTGCTAATCAAATGAACTTGCAGTCAGGAAAATGAGAAACTGATCAAAACCAATACTGACTGATTCATCCATCCCCAGCTGCTTCCAGAAACAATTCAGCAAGTCTTGATAGTTTTCTGCATTCCTGCATCATCTGCATTGTTGCATCCTAAGAACATAATAATGTAAGAACCACCTTGCTGGATCAGGTCAAGCACCTGTCAAGTCCAATATTCTGTTCACACAGCAGGCAACCAGTTTATTTGTGGGGTGTATGCTAGCAGTTCAAGGATGCAACTGCACCCTCTGACTTGCTTTTCATAGCAACCGTTGCGCAGAAATAATACTTAAGGTAATACAGACATATCAGCTATGCTGACTACTAGCCACTGATAGCCATAACACCATGGAATTCATCTAATTTGCTGATAAAGTAATCTGAATTGGTGACCATCACTACATCTTGAAGCAATGAATTCCACAGTTTCAGCTATGCACTATATGCATATTCCTTAGGTTCAGAACAACTGCATTCTCCCTCCACTCATGACAGTGGCTTTTTCCCCCCAGTTTGCTACAAAGCTTGGAAAAGGAACTTCTTCGACTGTAATTCCCAAGTAGCCATGCTGGCCAGGCCTTCCACTTCCATGACTCTGTGATTCTCAGTATGCCCAAAAATTTATAAACACAGATCTGCCACTATCTAGCTCTTCCAAGAACAAACTCAGAAGTTGGGTTAAATAGCCTCTGTATTTTTCTTTTTTCTTTTTCTTGAAAAAGGTATTAGGAGTTCAACAGTACGTGGCCTGGGTCCTTCCCATTAATTAGTACAGCAAGGGGTTTGTGGTCACTTACTAGTCTAAAGATCCCTATATACTCACTAAACATTGTTTCTTTCTCTGTGTTTGTCGTCACTAGAGAATCCATGTATATAGATAAAAGTCAACTGTTCTGCAGTTGTAACTGGAGCTAAGCTGTCATTTCCCCAAAGACGTTCCTTCTGAGAAAATATCTGAGGAAGTTTTCTTCTGAGAAAAAGCAGCCAAATGTAATTCCACCACTGTTTTGTACCATCTTCCTTCTGTCCAGCTCCACTTACTCTGTCAGGGGCATCATTTATGATGCAAAATGATAACCAGACTTCATCACCACAGACAGACAGACAGAAAGAAACTATGCTACAACTTTTGTTAATGGCAATCCCCACCCTTTAGAAAAGCTATTTAAAAATTCCCACCCACCCCTGAAGAAACTCAGTAAAATGGCTGCCAAAGCTGATCTGTCTGTAAAAAGGAAGAATCTGAATAGTGAAGACTGTGTGCACATAGATCTAGTTGTAATTGAAGGTCTCCTATGCCGTAGTTGCTTGCCCCTGTTCTTACTAGAGCTGATGCATGTTTGGATCATAAAGTTTCATGATGATGGAAACTTAAAGGATTGATTTCTTTCATTCTCTTAAAACAGTCTTGTTCAGTCAGTGCTCTCCTCCATAACTCATTCAACAGCGTTAGCACTGTAAACAAATTTGGCAGGTACCACATCAGGCAGTTAACTATTGCCAATATACGCCTACATTCTGCGTCAGCAGTGGGTGTTTTCAGTTCATGAACAGACCATACTTTATCTTCATTTGATCTCATGCTGCCCTTATTTATATACTTTTCCAAAAAGTCAGTGGCTTGCAGGCAGAAGTTGCAATTTTCTTTACTATGTGTAGGCTTAATAACATCCAGGTACAATTCCTTGAGGATTTCTAAATATTTCCCCTGTATTGACCCAGACAGCAGTCGTCTGAAAAAATGAAATATATTCTTCACATCTTCTCTAAGCATCTTCAGTTGGATATGGAAGATCTTTGAAACAATGGGCATACAGTATTTTAAAGCAGGATCTTCCAGTTTGTCTTCTGAATGCGCTTGGCTTGGCTTCTCTTCCAGCAACCATGAGACTGTTGCCAGAATCCATCTAATTTGGAGAATGCAGTTGTTACTTATAATGCCAATATCCCCCTAAAATGCATTATTCAGGATTATGTTGTTATAATATTATTGTCTCTGTGGAGGAGGCCCAAATGCAAGCTGGCAAGGTTTCCTGAAAAGCCCTGGGTAGGAATCTGATGAATTTTCACATAAGACATGAACTCCACAAAATTATAGACTCCTTCTTTCAATATGAATTTACTTGCAATGAGTAATTTTCATCAAAGGCCTTCTTTATGCCCCATCACCAAAAGGCTTGCTTGGTGAGTGCATGAGACAAGGGTTTCTCTGCACCAACCTCTTCATTGTGGATCACTGTCCCAATGAAACTCTCAAGCTTGCTCCACTCTTGTTAAGCTTCTAGTGGAAAGCTGAAGCTACATTATTATGTGTGGCCTTTGGCTTCCAAGCCTGCCTTTTAAAACTATTTCTGTCCTATTAAAAAAATTAGATGCATATTTTATTGTACACTATTTCGAAAATCTAGATGGCAGGAAAGTGATTGTTGGGAGGTGTGTCAATGTGTAGTCTGCATGATTAAATTAAACCATCCAAAGAGTGCTTTACCTTTCTTTTTTTCTTTTTTCTTTTTTGCTTCAATATGTTTAAAATAAATGATGAATCGAGTGAGACTTCTTAATAAAGATGTATTGGCTTGGCCAGTAGGAGAGCAGATCACTGTGTTCCTCTCTGTGCAGTCTGTTGTGTTCCCACGATGGGGACAGAGAGAGAGGGAGAGATGGATCCTGTCTTCCATGTTGAGGCATCCACATCTCCCAGGGCAGAAATGTAGAGAGTGCTCTTTTCTCCCACCATCACTTTGCTTGGATTCCATTGGGGAAGGGATTACCCAAAACAAGCTTCTAGAGGAGAAATGTAGGAACCTTTTCCATTGCATGGAAGTCCAGCAAGTTGGACAGAGTTAGGGCCATTTAGGCCCCATTATGGGCAGGAATTGAAGAGGAAGTATGGAACCAAGGAGGCTGCAGGCTGGGAGGAAACCTAGTGTGGGCCATATTTAGACACCAAGTTCATTACCTTGTATAAGTACAAATCCTCTTTCACAAATGTACACCTTTTCACTTGTGATAGAAATATGCACCAACCCTTTAATGTCTCCCAACAGAGCCCCATTAGATAAAGAGAATGTGAAACTCATTTCTGTTAAGACAACTTCTCCAGAGGCTGGTAAGCCATGCTTCCTTCTCACTGATTATACAGCTTATAAGCAGATATCGGTATTTTTAGAAATCAGGCAGGATGAAACAAATGTAGTTATTCATTCATTCATTTGGGAGATTGTTGTTTGGGTAGAGATAAGTCCTATTGGGTCTCACAGGGCTTAGACAGTCACTTCTTGAAAGTGATTCATTCCCATTAAACATTCTAGTGTTAATGAATTTTCCCACTCTTCAACAATGTTTAAATTTGACATGTTATTATTGCTTTGCTTGTTGCTGTTGTGTTACCTTACATTGCTATTAAAACAGCCTTGGGATTTATAAGATAGTACCATAAAACTTGACACTTTCTGTTAAAACACCTCCAAAACTGTCTTGAAATCCCCATTAAAAGTAGTGTTCATTGAAAAGTAGCTGGAAAGCATAACATACTAAGCCAGTGAAATAACCTCTCTCCTCCTATTTCCATTACTTTGTGAACTGTAACTCAGTCAGGACCTTAATATCAAAGAAAGTAACTTCTTGCTGGTTTTCATGAAGACATTACTTCCATCAAGGGCATCATGTGTAGCCTGTGTGGAGTAGGAGTATACCACAAAACACATCCATCATGATTCTGGGGCAGTATTCCAAGCTTTGGGTCCCCAGATGTTCTTGGACTAAAACTCTCAGAAGCCTTCACCACTAGCTATGCTGGCCAGGATTTCTGGGACCTGTAGTCGGAGGACATCTGGGGACCCAATTTTGAGAACCACTGTTCTGAAGTATCCCATCACAGGGGCTCACGGTCTTTCAAGGAAATTTATCTGCCATTATTAAATTTTCCACAGCAGGAAATGCTGATAAAGTTCAAGAAGGATCAGCCGATTATCACTTTCCATAAAGTTATCAAACTGTTCTTAGCTTTAGCATTTTCCAACTTTTACCAAGAGGAGAATAACACTGACAAGTTTATATCTTTTACAAAATTGGAGGAAAAGCTTCTAGTGCCTCTGGGAGCTTCTGCATATTTCACTCTGGCTACATGTTCTCCTTCTTAGAGCACAATGCTCAATAAACTCATTATTGAACAATGTCGTACGCATCGCATACTATATTTGGAAGACTTCTGAGTCATAAGCACTTGAGGAACATTAATTTTCTCTTCCCTCTCACACTCCAGATAATACGATTCATATTTAATATAGCTTTTTTTTTCAGTAGGGCTTTCAAAAGTTTAATATATTTTCAGGTCACATACATCTCCATAAGTATAAAATCCATTTTTGCCTTTTGGGTCATGCTAAATACTCAATTCTTCAGCAAAAAGAAGACTTAAAGGTAAAGCTTTCTTTCCCCCCCCCACCGAGCCCAAATTTTCCTGGGATATTTGTTTCTCATACATGTAATCACCTTCACCTTCATCTATGCCCTCAAATGGAAATGAAAACAACAAAATCTCAAAACAGAAAGTATGGGGTAAAGCAGTTCTTGAGAGCAGAAATACAGAGAAAGAGGGCAGCTGCCATAATTACAACTCAGTTCCATAGCCTAGGGCAAATGTAAAATACTGTATTCTGCAACTATGAGTATACCACAAAACCACTAGCTATGCTGGCCAGGATTTCTGGGACCTGTAGTCAGCAGCACAATGATTCCTCTTCACACCCGGGCAACAATCTTATTGCTACGGCAGAAGCATAAACTGAGTGGTTTTTATATACACAAGGACTTATCATTCAGCAATTGATTCAGTAGGTCTACTCTTAGGATACTGAGCCCCGATTCAAAAAGCTTAACTACAGTTAAGAATGATCTCTGCGTGAATTCAAAGAGTTGATGCCCCTAGGAGGAGGTCCACTGGCCCTGTTCCCTAGAAGTAGGAGCATGACTGGTATCCATGTATTATTCAGGAGAGTGAATTAACTACTCTCATAAGAACAGTACATACTCTTTCCTCTTGCTGTTCCCACAGCTTTGGAAAACAAAACTGCTGCAGGCCTACATTAAGAATCCTACCAGGGAACCACATAAAAACTGGTTGATAAACCAATATTGGTGTAGGAGTTAAACTTAGTAATCATGAGTCAACACCCTGTGCAGTGGCTGATAATGTTAAATACATTTGTATGGTTTTCATCTACTATATAATTTAGTAAAATTCTAAGTTGTTTTTTCCTTCTCTCCTACATATTTTAAACCAGTCTTCCCACCTGATGCTCTCCCAGTGTGTTGGCAATGCTTCCTAAGGTTGATTGGCATTTTTGCCGAACATCTCTGGAAAAAAAACACCACGTTGGGGAAGGCTGTTTAAACTGCCCATTAACTTTTATTTTTCCCCATTAACTTTTATTTTTCTTCTGGGCTAGGTATGTCCAATTTCTTGACCCTTTCCTCATATGACTTGCCTTTAGACATGTCATTACCTTTGGAGGCCTTCAAACCAATGTGAGTACTCTCATTGGTTACAAGACTGCAGCCTCAAGATTGTTTTACATGGACATGTACATTGAATTATAATTTTAACCACTTCCAGTAAGATTGGGTTTCTGTTACCTCCAGAGGCAGTCCATACAATGGTGGAATATATCCCATGATCTTCCTGGGTGCAGTTGTGTATATGTTGCTCATATCAAAATTTACTTTTCATAATACATCTGTATGCAATGCATGCAGATCTGTTGGAATCATCTGTGGGTTACATGCTTTTTAGTTATATATACCATATTTTTCCGTGTATAAGGTTCCCATGTATAAGATGCCCCCCCACTTTTCTAACCCCAAATTAAGAAATCTAAGTGGGGCTTAGCAAGTGGAGGGGAAAGCAGGGATCAAAGCCCTGCAGGATCACTTTGATCCCTGCTTTCCCCTCCACTTATTTTTGTTCTTTCCTCAGCTTACTTCCATGTATAACACGACCCTCAGATTTTAGACAAAAGTATAGTCTTATACACAGAAAAATGTAGTACTTTCTATCGCTCTTCTCCACTGACTTCCGTAACATGTTGCTAATACCTTAAATTTAATGTGATGATGGCTTTGTTTCTAATTAACTTACACACATCTTCTGTTTCTTAGGAGAGCAGTCTTCTCAAGGGAAGACTAAAAGTCAGCAGCACAACAATTCCTCTTCACACCTGGGCAACAAACGTGTATGTTCAAGTCTTTCTGTCTGCTGAGTATTTAATTAATGTCTCCCTTCAGAGCCATAAATTGCAATTTGGTCGCCCAAGGCAAATGGCAGCATCAACCACTCTCTCTGCCCTAAGGCATGAGTAAAAGCTACCACCAAGAAAAAGG